ACGAGATTTTATAGTGGTTCAGCCAATGTTGCCTACTCCACTCTTCTTCCACAACTGTTGGAAGGATTGCACTATCACTCTTAGTACAAATACACAAAGACTTCCTTGATCACTAAGCCGGACAGCCTTCGTAGGTTTTTCAACTCCTCGAGTTTACTTCGCCTCTATCAACTTCTTCTCCTGAGTTGAGGTTGGTAGAAAATGATTTCTTGAACTCTCCAACGATGAGGTCTTGACTCTGAGATATGATTGCTTCAAATAAATGTCAAGACTTCCTTGAGGTGTAATACAAAAGAATCTTCAAGTAGCTTAGCACCTCAAAACTGGTTCACAAAAGCTTTTAGTAAATTGTAGACTTTTCAAGAGCTTTTGTAAGTGAGTAAGTTGAGTGATAATGAACCAGCACCTTCTAGTTGATGAAGGTGAGTTTATATAGGTGATGAAAATCCATCCGTTGGAGGGAGATGAAATTTTCGAACCTTTCAACCAGTGGACAAGGACCGGGGAGCCTTCATGCATTAAATGCTCCATTAATGAGGTTGTACCATGTAGCCGTTGAAGGTATGGAAAGCATTGGGGTTTTTCCTTTAGCTCCAAGAGATGGTACATCTTCATTAGTGCTTATTGAAAAGTGGTGTCCCATAAGATGAAGTCCTTATTGTCCTAGGATGTTGTCAAATCAGACAGTGTAATCATTCTTCTCGTTGTTGAAGAGAAGTAATGCTTGATAAAGATCGTCTTTCACCAACACTGTCCTTTCGTGCTTGTTGACAACTCCTGCTTGATTCTTGTTGTTGTTCTTTCATGTCTCGTGTCTTCTTTCACCTTGGAGACCCTAACATCTAGTCATAACTCATTTTCGTGTGTTTGTCTAGCTTAACACGAATTACAGAGGAGTTATGGCAACTTTCGTCTAGGACGAAAGCAGCGATTAAAAAAGCTAATGGTTAGGGGTTACTTTTCTACAATACATTGGTATCATCAAAATCCTAATACAATGTTCCTAACACGGTTTAGAAATTATGAATCTACAATATAGATTTTATGAATTTACAGTATAGAAATTATGAATTCGAACCGTGCGCACCTTGCATGGTTCACACGGTAGCACAACATAACGTTTCGATACTATACTCGAGGGCCATTTCACTTAAAAAGAAAAAAAAATAAAACAAACAAAACTTGTGACGTTTTTTGAAAAAAAAAAAAAATTGTTCAAATACAATTATTTTTTCCAATTGCAAAATATGATTATATAAATCCGAGTACTTATTTTTTTATTTTGAAAAATACAAATCCAAATGATAACTTGGAAACAATTTGAGTAGGAATTATATTGTCTTGCCTACAATATCTGATGAAATCAACAAGAACAAGAAACAATAATATTGGTAAAAATAGAGTTAAAGAATGTAAGATTTACATGGTTCGGCAATGTGCTTACACCCATGAGAGTAAAAAAAAAAAAATAATTAGTCATAGCGATGGTGATCGTGGTGATACCTTAGCTTTGGATATAATTAATGTATTTCTAGGACTCTAATCGTTGTACAATGGGTCTGCCCAAATTGTTTCACTCCTATTGGACAAACTTATATTCCTAATCCCTATATGAGACAAACTTAACAATATCTTCTCGAGCATGAATTGCGAAGCGGGATGAAGGAAATGATAAACAAATAATTCCATTACAGAAATCTTATGTAATTGAGTAGATCAGCGCATGCTTTTATTGTAACTTTGTTGACAATATGTAACGTAACCTTGAATTAGTTGGAATTTGAATATAATGTTCAATAAAAGAAACAGTGCAATTTTGTAAAACAGATCGTGAGTACAGTAATGAAGAAAAGGAATTCAATTAATTAAATTGACGGAGAGGAAAAACTAAATTGAAGAAATGGTTTTCAAAAAAAAAAATGAAATTTGGAGAAATGAATTGAAGCTAGTTCAAAGCACCGCAGACTTTCCTAATGATCCCATTTTGACCCGTGAACGGCTGAATTTCAGACATTTTAATCATGGCTGATGCAAAATCTTCTTGAAATGCCCGAGAGCTCCTAGCGTACTCTGAAACAATACTGTCAGTTGCTCCACCGCTGAATAGAACTTGATCCGATTGAAGCAGACCTTTCTTTTGCAATAAGTTCTTATAGTAGTTGTTATCAAAGGAATTTGGGGTCACTAAATCAAGGGGTGCCAAATTCCCATTTCCGGTGTCCATTGGACATTTGCGTCTTCTAGTGCTAGCAAAACCGGAATCAATGTTAGTACGGTTGCCGTAAATTCTATCGCAAAATAGGAAGCATTGAGCTTGGCCGAGAGTGTGTGCACCAAACAAGGCAACCATGTATCTTGTGTTAAGGCCTTTGCTAGCGAAGCTGGATATAAGTGTATCCAAATTTGCGAAAGGGCTAGGGAGATCTATGTTACGACTAGCTGTGGTTGAATCTCTTCTTCCCAGCTTCACTGTCCAAGACGGACCTCCCGCAGCAACAGTGGCATCACGTGCAGCCACCGACAATACATCAGCACAAGATACAATACCAGGACAAGCTTTCTCTAGCTCGCGCTTGGCAGCCTCTATCACGTCGTAACCCCTGGCAGAGGCATGGTTTGGCAACGCCGTCTTTTCGCTCTTAATGGTTGGTGACTCGTCCAGTAAGATGGAAGCGTCGCAACCCTGAACAAAGCAGTCGTGGAAATGGAGACGAATCAAGGAAGCGGCCATACGACGCTCACGGGACACGGCTTGCCTTACGGCATCGCGAATGATGTTTAGAGCGTTAGGGCATGTGTTGTCGTAAAACGTAGGGGATAGCTGCTGCTGCTGCGCTTGGCATTGCGAGAAGGAGGAGAGCAGCAGTAGAAGCAAACACGATAAAGCTGTAGTGTATATATGAGAAGCCATATGTATATAGAGAAATGGCGCTGGGATTGTAGGTCTGATCTGAAATCAATGATTGGGTTGGTATAATTATTGAGAATGGGAAAGTGGAACGAAGTGTATATACTTGTTGGCAGGGAGGCGGTGGCTGTTGTTAAATATATATACTCCTAATCAGATAAGGAATGATAAAAGGAATATTATATTATATTATATTATATTATTCACAATAATATAGAGAGGGGCTAGGGAGAATAAATATTAATTCTAGTGTGAATATATATGATTAATAATAACTAATGTTTAGAAATTAAAATTGATGAAAATCATGAACGGAACAATCAAGTCATATACTCTAGGGTCCTTTCCCTGTGATCAGGCCGGGTTCACTTCTTTTCCGTCAATTAGTCTTTTCCCGGCCTTTATATCATTTTTTCATCGACCATATATTCAATCTTATCTTTTTCGATTATTATATAATATATATTTTGACCTTTCGATTATTAAAAAATGTACTTTCTTCTATGGTCCGTACAGCACTGTGTGGACCATGGTCCACAGAATACTTTGTCCAAGTTTTATGTCGCTTGATAATTATAAAGCTATACCACTACTACAAAACACACTTACCACGGCGGTTATTTTTATAAATACACGGCGGTTCTTGAAGTGCCGTGTAAGTGACCGCCTTTGTAAATAAAAACTTTCTACGGCGGTTGCTAAACGCCGTCTAATATCACGATGTATGTCGTGTAATCTCAACAATTATATGTATAGACGGCGCTTTTCTTGAGGAACCGCCGTCTATTCATATGTATAGACAGCGGTACAATATAAGAACCGCCGTCATAGACGGTGGTTCAATGTAAAAACCGCCGTCAATACATATGAATAGACGGCGGTTCAATGTAAGAACCGCCGTCTATGCATATGTATTGACGGCGGTTGTCTTGAGGAACCGCCGTCTATGAATAAGTATAGACGGCGGTTATCTTGAGGAACCGCCCTCTATGCATATGTATAGACGGTGGTTGTCTTGAGGAACCGCCGTCTATACATATGTATAGACGGCGGTTGTCTTGAGGAACCGCCGTCTATACATATATTTTTCACCTAGGAATCGCCGTCTATACATATATTTTTCACCTTAAAAGAAAATAAAATAAAATTACATTATATATTCGATGGCTCCTGGGGTCGGGACCCTGTTCCGATGGTGCCATGGAATCAAACTTCACGTTGGTTCCCAAGTACCAAGCGCACCACAATCAGAGCTCCTGGGGTCGCTTAGTTCATCTCACTAACGTGTCACCTCACCAAGGTTCCGACACGTCTCGGTCGCTTAGTTCATCTCACTAACGTGTCACCTCACCAAGGTTCCGACACGTCTCGCAGCGCTTCTCGGGACCCTGTTCCGATGGTGCCATGGAATCAAACTTCCCGTTGGTTCCCAAGTACCAAGCGCACCACAATCCAAGCTCCTGGGGTCGCTTAGTTCATCTCACTAACATGTCACCTCACCAAGGTTCAGGCACGTCTCGCAGCGCTTCTCGGGACCCTGTTCCGATGGTGCCATGGAATCAAACTTCCCGTTGGTTCCCAAGTACCAAGCGCACCACAATCCGAGTTTTGCTCAGGGTTCAGGGCGGCTCAGAGCCCCAAGCCCAAGGTGCAATGTAAGGCCAAGGATCATTTTTATTTATCAACAATATTCCAACCCACGCTTGGGATGGGAATCGATCCCTAGCCTGCCTTTTTGAAAGTCCATACTGGATACCATCAGACCACAAGGGAGATAGTTAATTATGCTATGTAGGAACATAATATATGTGCACATGTATATAATTAGAAAATACTAGGTTTTCTTGGATTAAGAAACTATTAAGCTTAATGAATAATATTGATTTACGAAAATTTAATAAAATTAGTCGTATGCACATACGGTCCTCGTACAATGCCCAAAAAAATATGGAGTATCACACCTTTACACGGCGACCGCCGTCTATTAAGTGACGTAAACATATATTAGAAGGCGGTTATTTAAGAACCGCCGTTTATTAAATGACGTAAATATATATTAGAAGGCGGTTATTTAAAACCTCCGTCTATTAAGTGACGTAAATATATATTAGAAGGCGGTTATTTACAACCGCCGTCTATTAAGTGACGTAAATATAAATTAGACGGCGGTTATTTAAGAACCGCCGTCTATTAAGTGACGTAAATATATATTAAAAGGCGGTTATTTAAGAACCACCATCTATTAAGTGGCGTAAATATATATTAGAAGGCGGTTATTTAAAACCGTCGTCTATTAAGTGACGTAAATATATATTAGAAGGCGGTTATTTATAACCGCCATCTATTAAGTGACGTAAATATAAATTAGACGGCGGTTATTTAAGAACCACCGTCTATTAATTGACATAAATATATATTAGACGGCGGTTATTTAAAACCGCCGTCTATTAAGTGGCGTAAATATATATTAGAAGGCGATTAATTAAAACCGCCGTCTATTAAGTGACGTAAATATATATTAGAAGGCGGTTATTTACAACCGTCGTCTATTAAGTAACGTAAATATATATTAGACGGCGGTTATTTAAGAACCGCCGTCTATTAATTGACGTAAATATATATTAGACGGCGGTTATTTAAAACCGCAGTCTATTAAGTGGCGTAAATATATATTAGAAGGCGGTTATTTAAAACCGCCGTCTATTAAGTGACGTAAATATATATATTAGAAGGCGATTATTTAACAACCGCCGTCTATTAAGTGACGCCGTATATAATAGACGGCGGTTATTTAAAGACCGCCGTCTTTTAAGTGTCGTAGTATATAATAGAAGGCGGTTATTTAAAGACCGCCGTCTATTATGTGCCGTAGTATATAATAGAAGACGGTTATTTAGAAAACCGACGTCTATTATGTGTCGTAGTATAACAAAATATAATAGAAGGCGGTTATTTAAAAAACCGCCTTCTATTAACCGACGTAGTATATCATTTCTGTAGTAGTGTATATTCAAGATGAACACAGTTCTATATTCATAATTAATGAACTATATGTTCATAATTATAAAGCTATATATTCATAAATTTTGAACTTCATATTCACAATTATTGAATCTCTATATTCATATATTACAGAACTATATGTTCATAATTGTGTTCACAACTCTATGTTCATAATCATACACCTATAAGTTCATCATTTTTGAACTATATATTCGTAGTTATGAACAGTTTTGGAACTGTGTCCACCTTGCAAGGTGGACACGGTTCCACAGCATAATTTGCCATTTATGAATGTGTATATTATTAAGTTTATTTCATTAATTTCGCTGAAAAATATTTTAATCAGTGGCAGTGATCATTTAGAAAAAATCTTCTTGGAATGCCCGAGAGCTCCTGGCGTACTCTGAAACAATACTGTCAGTTGCTCCGCCGCTGAATAGAACTTGATCCGATTGAAGCAGACCTATATGTTCATCATTTTTGAACTATATATTCATAGTTATGAACAGTTTTGGAACTGTGTATATTATTAAGTTTATTTCATTAATTTCGCTGAAAAATATTTTAATCAGTGACAGTGATCGTTTAGAAAAAATTTGTTAAAATACTCCACTAATGGATTTAAGTCTTCATACATTCCAAATAATTGGATTGTATGATCAAAAAAAAATTTTAATTTTGAAAATTAGTTAATTAATTAGGTCCATTATTTTGGAAATTTTGGTATGTCAGCTAGTGATGATGGTATCGAATGCATTCATTGTTTTATTAGATTTTAAAAAATTCAAGAAAAAGAAATAGATTTAGATGCGCGAAACGCGCACGTGTCTTACTTTTCCTTCATTTTTCTCTCTCTAATGGGGCCCAAAATGTGTCCTGACATATGACTGCAAATGGTTGAACACATGATCGTTAAGAACATTTGAGGCGCAAAGAGTTGATATCTCGTTTGATGTCTTCACGATTGCATTTCGCTCCTTGCAAAAATTGGCCATCTACGATGTTGTTTCCTCACTTTCACTCATTCATCTTTGATCTTTGATTTGTATATGCTCAAGAAAATTTTTATAATTGGGAAATTAGTTAATTAATTTGGTGATTTTGGTATGTCGGCTAGTGGTGATAGTTTTGGATGCATTCATTGTTTTGTTAGATTTAAAAAAATTCTAGAAAAAATAGAACTAGATTTACTCGTCCCGTATATGCGTGAAACGCACATGTGTCTTGCTTTTTCTTCGTTTTTCTCTCTCTAACGGGATTGAGACGATCTCACAAAAGTGTTTGCATTCCTTATGAAATAGAATTTATATTCATCTAAATTTTGTTTCCTCAATCAAGCATGTCCAAAAGGAATAGCATAATTTATCAAGATAATCCTAAGAATATAATAGTTATTTTCCATACAATAACAATAACTCATCTAGTTATCTCTTTGGATACTATAGGCAAATTATGCCGTGCAACCGTGTGCACCGTGCATGGTGCATACTGTTGCAAAACGACGCCGTTCCAAATTTAAAAAAAAAAAAAATCCATTTTTCATTGCCGTTAACGGCGTTAGGCGATTTCCATTCGCATTCAAACATTCTTTTCTCCCTTTGCAATCACACAGTTTAGAAATTATGAATCTACCATACTTAAATAATGAATCTACAGTGTAGAAATTATGAATCTACAGTATTTGATTTGTGAACATGTGATAGAGCTATATGTTCATAAATTTATAAATATATGTTCATGATTACAGAGCTATATGTTCATAATTTTCGATGCTCATATTCCCAATTGTTGAACTCTGTATTCACAACTCACAGAATTATATGTTCATAATTTGTTAACTATACAGTTTAGATATTATGAATCTACAGTACATAAAATATGAATCTGCAGTATAGAAATTGTGAATCTTCTATATAGAAGTTATGAATTTCTTGTGTTTAAATTATGAATCTACGGTTTAAAAATTATGAACCTACAATATAGATTTTATGAATTTACAGTATAGAAATTATGAATCTACAGTATAGAAATTATGAATTGGAACCGTGCGCACCTTGCATGGTGTACACGGCTACACAGCATAACGTTCCGATAGCGCATTTCACTTAATAAAAAAAAAACTTGTGACGTTTTTTTAAAAAAAAAAAAAAACAAATAATTTGTTCAAATACAATTATTTTTCAAATTGCAAAATATGATTTTATAAATTCGAGTACTTATTATTATTATTTTTTTGTAAAATACAAATCCAAATGATAACTTGGAAACAATTTTGTGTATGAATTATATTGTCTTGCCTACAAAATCTGATGAAATCAACAAGAACCAAAAACAATAATATTGGTAAAAATAGAGGTAAAGAATGTAAGATTTACATGGTTCGGCAATGTTCTTACACCCACGAGAGTTAAAAAAAAAAAAAATTAGTTCATAGCGATTGTGATCGTGGTGATACCTTAGCTTTGGGATATAATTAATGTATTTCTAGGCATCTAATCATTGTATAATGGGTCTACCCAAACTGTTTCACTCCTATTAGACAAACTCATATTCCTAATCCTTATATGAGACAAACTTAACAATATCTTCTCGAGCATGAATTGCGAAGCGGGATGAAGGTGTTGAGATTAATAAGAACAAGAAAAATAATAATGGCAGTAAAGGATAAAGAAGACAAGATTTACGTGGTTCGGCAATGTGCCTACATCCACGAGAGTGAATGTATTCTCTTATTATTTGTGATGGTGATACAGGTGATGAGATACATTGATTATATTTATAGGCATATAATCTCCCTTTCACTCCTATTCCTTATATGAGACAAACTCATATTCCTAATCCTTATATGAGACAAACACAACAAATCTCCACCTTGGCGAATATGCTCTCTAAGAGAAAAGATAACTCAACAAATCTCCACCTTGGCGAATAAGCCCTTCAGGAGAAAATACTTATCTAACCATCTCCACCTTCGCAAATAAGCCCTTTAGGAGAAAAAACTCATCTCATAGTCTCCCTGGATTAGGACCACCATGTTCATTTAACATCTGGAAACACCCAACAAGTCCAAACAATGTTTGAACTTGTCACTAGTAACTGCCTTTGTCAACATGTCTGCTGCATTCTCACTTGTATGAATTTTCTGCAACAAAATCTCACCAGAAGCAACAAACTCTCTGACCTTATGAAACCTTACATCAATATGTTTGGTTCTGGCATGGTATACTTGATTTTTAGCTAAGAAAATGGCACTTTGATTGTCACAGTGTAATTGAACTCCATCTTGCTCAATACCCAGCTCCTTAATCAAACCTGAAAGCCACAAAGCCTCTTTAGCTGCCTCAGTCACAGCCATGTATTCTGCTTCAGTTGTAGACAAAGCTACAATAGACTGAACTGATGATCTCCAGCAAATAGGACCACCCCCAAGAGTAAAAACATACCCTGTTGTAGAACGTCTATTATCCATGTCACCAGCATAATCAGAATCCACATATCCCATGAGTACATGCTCATTCTGTTGACTCCCAAATACAATACCATGCTCCATAGTGCCCCTTAAGTACCGGAGAATCCATTTAACTGCTTCCCAATGCTGTTTCCCAGGTTTAGACATGTACTTACTAACTTGGCTAACAACATGAGCCAAATCAGGTCGAGTACAAACCATTGCATACATTAAACAGCCAACTGCACTAGCATAAGGAACCTTTGCCATATTTTCAATCTCACTAACTGTTTGGGGACACTGACTGGATGAGAGTTTAAAATGATTAGCCAAAGGGGTACTAACCGGTTTAGACTTACTCATCCCAAACCTGTCAAGAATTTTCTCTATATAACTCTGTTGAGTTAGCCACAACTTTCTTGCACCTCTATCCCTGTGAATTTCCATGCCAAGAATTTTCTGTGCAACTCCTAAGTCTTTCATATCAAATTCCTGACCCAACAAAACTTTCAATGCAGTAATATCATTCATACTCTTAGCAGCGATCAACATATCATCCACATACAGTAACAGAAAAATAAAAGAACCATCACCAAGGCTTTTAACATAGACACAACAATCATACTCACAACGTGTATAGCCAATTTGATCATGTAAGCATCGAACCGCTTGTACCACTGCCGTGGAGCCTGTTTCAGCCCATACAAAGACCTCTTGAGTCGACAAACCAGATGCTCACCTCCGGGTTTAATAAACCCTTCAGGTTGCTTCATGTAAATTTGCTCATCTAGATCACCATGTAAAAAAGCAGTTTTCACATCCATTTGTTCCAAATGCAAATCCCAAATGGCTACCAAAGCAAGTACTAATCTGATAGAAGTATGTCTAACAACAGGAGAGAAAACCTCATCATAATCTATCCCCTTATGTTAAGAAAACCCCTTCGCAACTAACCTAGCCTTAAACCTTTCCCCTTCTTTTTCTGATACTGGTGGCTTCTTTCTTTAGACCCACTTGCACCCTATAGCCTTCTTTCCTTGAGGAAGTTGAGCTAACTCCCAAGTATGATTATGTTGTATCCTTTACGTGGTTCGGCAATGTGCCTACATCCACGGGAGTGAAACAATTCTCTTATTCATAATGATGGTGATAGTGGTGACACCCAAACCTTTAGGGATACAACCAATATATTTATAGGCATCCAATCCCTATACAATAGGTCTACCCGTTTCACTCCTACTCCTAGTATGAGACAAACACTTATTCCTAATCCATATATGAGACAAACTCAACAATCTCCACCTTGGCGAATATGTTCTTTAGGAGAAAAGATAACTCAACAATTCTCCACCTTGACGAATATGCTCTTTAGGAGAAAAGACTTATCTCACCATCTCCACCTTCACATATATGCCCTTTAGGAGAAAAGACTTCTCCACCTTCGCAAATATGTCCTTTAGGAGAAAAAGATAACTCAACAAATCTCTACCTTAGCAAATATGTCCCTTAGGAGAAAAGACGTATCTCACCATCTCCACCTTCACAATTATGCCCCTTAGGACAAAAAAACTTATCTCACATATACACATGGGTAGGAACAACCATGCTCATCCCAACTAGCCAGCCACATGCATACGCAGCATCAAACGTTACCCAGTGCATGTACACGAACCGCTTTGTTCCAAGCCATTCGCCTCTCAGCCGTCGACCTGGTATGGGCCGGATGCAGGAAGTCAGCTGAACGGGGCAGTTAGCATGAGTCACGGCGGAAATGATAAACAAATAATTCCAATACAGAAATTTTATGCCTAATATTATATGTAATTTGAGTAGATCAGCGCATGCTTTTAATGTAACTTTGTTGAGAATAAGTAACGTAACCTTATTAGGACTATGTGGTCTAATGGTATCCGGGGTGGACTTCCAAGTGGAAGGTTGTGATTTCGAGCCTCAGTGGAGGCGTTATATAAAAGAAACAGTGCAAGTTGCGTTAGTTGTAGGTATATAATGAAAAGTACAAGAAATTTATTATTACATGCAATTTTGTAAAACAGATCATGAGTACAGTAATGAAGAAAAGAAATACAATTAATTAAATTGTAGGAGAGGAAAAACTAAATTGAAGAAATGGTTATGAATTATTGAAGCTAGCTAGTTCAAAGCACCGCAGACTTTTCTAATGATCCCATTTTGACCCGTGAGCGGCTGAATTGAATATAATGTTCAATAAAAGAAACAGTGCAAGTTGCGTTAGTTGTAGGTATATAATGAAAAGTACAAGAAATTTATTATTACATGCAATTTTGTAAAACAGATCATGAGTACAGTAATGAAGAAAAGAAATACAATTAATTAAATTGTAGGAGAGGAAAAACTAAATTGAAGAAATGGTTATGAATTATTGAAGCTAGCTAGTTCAAAGCACCGCAGACTTTTCTAATGATCCCATTTTGACCCGTGAGCGGCTGAATTTCAGACATTTTAATCATGGCTGATGCAAAATCTTCTTGGAATGCCCGAGAGCTCCTGGCGTACTCTGAAACAATACTGTCAGTTGCTCCACCGCTGAATAGACCTTTCTTTTGCAATAAGTTCTTATAGTAGTTGTTATCAAAGGAATTTGGGGTCACTAAATCAAGGGGTGCCAAATTCCCATTTCCGGTGTCCTTTGGACATTTGCGTCTTCAAGTGCTAGCAAAACCGGCATCAATGTCAGTACGGTTGCCGTAAATTCTATCGCGAAATAGGAAGCATTGAGCTTGGCCGAGAGTGTGTGCACCAGACAAGGCAACCATGTCTCTTGTGTTAAGGCCTTTGCTAGCGAAGCTGGATATAAGTGTATCCAAATTTGCGAAAGGCCTGGGGAGATCTATGTTACGACTAGCTGTGGTTGAATCTCTTCTTCCCAGCTTCACTGTCCAAGACGGACCTCCCGCAGCAACAGTGGCATCACGTGCAGCCACCGACAATACATCAACACAAGATACAATACCAGGACAAGCTTTCTCTAGCTCGCGCTTGGCAGCCTCTATCACGTCGTAACCCCTGGCAGAGGCATGGTTTGGCAACGCCGTCTTTTCGCTCCTAATGGTTGGTGACTCGTCCAGTAAGATGGAAGCGTCGCAACCCTGAACAAAGCAGTCGTGGAAATGGAGACGAATCAAGGAAGCGGCCATGCGACGCTCACGGGACACGGCTTGCCTTACGGCATCGCGAATGATGTTTAGAGCGTTAGGGCATGTGTTGTCGTAAAATGTAGGGGATAGCTGCTGCTGCTGCGCTTGGCATTGCGAGAAGGAGGAGAGCAGCAGTAGAAGCAAACACGATAAAGCTGTAGTGTATATATGAGAAGCCATATGTATATAGAGAAATGGCGCTGGGATTGTAGGTCTGATCTGAAATCAATGATTGGGTTGGTATGATGATTGAGAATGGGAAAGTGGAACGAAGTGTATATACTTGTTGCAGGGAGGCGGTGGCTATTGTTAAATATATATATATATATATACTCCTAATCAGATAAGGAATGATAAAAGGAATATTATATTATATTATATTATTCACAATAATATAGAGAGGGGCTAGGGAGAATAAATATTAATTCTAGTGTGAATATATATGATTAATAATAACTAATGTTTAGAAATTAAAATTGATGGATATCATGAATGGAACAATCTAGTCATATACTCTAGGGTCCTTTCCCTGTGATCAGGCCGGGTTTAGTTCTTCTCCGTCAATTAGTCTTTTCCTGGCCTTTATATCATTTTTTCATCGACCATATATTCAATCTTATCTTTTTCGATTATTATATAATATATATTTCGACCTTTCGATTATTAAAAATTGTACTTTCTTTTATGGACCGTACAGCACTGTGTGGACCATGGTCCACAGAATAATTTGTCCAAGTTTTATGTCACTTGATAATTATAAAGCTATATATTCAAGATGGACACAGTTCTATATTCATAATTAATGAACTATATGTTCATAATTATAAAGCTATATATTCATAAATTTTGAACTTCATATTCACAATTATTGAATCTCTACATTCATATATTACAGAACTATATGTTCATAATTGTGTTCACAACTCTATGTTCATAATCATACACCTATAAGTTCATCACTTTTGAACTATATATTCATAGTTATGAACAGTTTTGGAACTGTGTCCACCTTGCAAGGTGGACACGGTTCCACAGCATAATTTGCCATTTATGAATGTGTATATTATTAAGTTTATTTCATTAATTTCGCTGAGAAATATTTTAATCAGTGGCAGCGATCATTTAGAAAAAATCTTCTTGGAATGCCCGAGAGCTCCTGGCGTACTCTGAAACAATACTGTCAGTTGCTCCGCCGCTGAATAGAACTTGATCCGATTGAAGCAGACCTATATGTTCATCATTTTTGAACTATATATTCATAGTTATGAACAGTTTTGGAACTGTGTATATTATTAAGTTTATTTCATTAATTTCGCTGAAAAATATTTTAATCAGTGACAGTGATCATTTAGAAAAAATTTGTTAAAATACTCCACTAATGGATTTAAGTCTTCATACATTCCAAATAATTGGATTGTATGATCAAAAAAAATTTGTAATTGTGAAAATTAGTTAATTAATTAGGTCCATTATTTTGGAAATTTTGGTTTGTCAGCTAGTGATGATGGTATCGAATGCATTCATTGTTTTGTTAGATTTTAAAAAATTCAAGAAAAGGAAATAGATTTAGATGCGCGAAACGCGCATGTGTCTTTCTTTTCCTTCATTTTTCTCTATCTAATGGGGCCCAAAATGTGACCAGGCATATGACCGCAAATGGTTAAACACATGATCGTTAAGAACATTTGAGGCGCAAAGAGTTGATATCTCGTTTGCTGTCTTCACGATTGCATTTCGCTCCTTGCAAAAATTGGCCATCTACGATGTTGTTTCCTCACTTTCACTCATTCAGCTTTGATCTTTGATTTGTATATGCTCAAGAAAATTTTTATAATTGGGAAATTAGTTAATTAGTTAATTAATTTGCTGATTTTGGTATGTCGGCTAGTGATGATAGTTTTGGATGCATTCATTGTTTTGTTAGATTTAAAAAAATTCTAGAAAAAATAGAACTAGATTTACTCGTCCCGTATATGCGTGAAACGCACATGT